CTTTTCTCCAAGGAGTGCTGGACCAACTGGGCTGTGGTGGATATGTGGGCCTGCGGGCCGCTCCAAGCAACAGTCTGGTGGACCAAACTCTCACAAGTGGAGCCTGGCCTCGGGCCGGGCTTGGGGAGTAGAAGAACTCCCAGAACCCCATCAACCAGGTATATGTGGGCCTGCGGGCCGCTCCAAGCAACAGCCTGGTGGACCAAACTCTCACAAGTGGAGTCTGGCCTCGGGCCGGGCTTGGGGAGTAGAAGAACTCCCAGAACCCCATCAACCAGGTATATGTGGGCCTGCGGGCCGCTCCAAGCAACAGCCTGGTGGACCAAACTCTCACAAGTGGAGCCTGGCCTCGGGCCGGGCTTGGGGAGTAGAAGAACTCCCAGAACCCCATCAACCAGGTATATGTGGTCCTGCGGGCCGCTCCAAGCAACAGCCTGGTGGACCAAACTCTCACAAGTGGAGCCTGGCCTCGGGCCGGGCTTGGGGAGTAGAAGAACTCCCAGAACCCCATCAACCAGGTATATGTGGGCCTGCGGGCCGCTCCAAGCAACAGCCTGGTGGACCAAACTCTCACAAGTCAAGCCTGGCCTCGGGCCGGGCTTGGGGAGTAGAAGAGCTCCCAGAACCCCATCAACTCGGTATTAACCAGTCCTTCTGTAGTTACTTTCATTCTTATGTTTTCATGTCCAATTTATACCCATTGGTTCGTGTTCTGTCGCCTCACTCAAAACGAGTGTAGGCGTGACATAAACCAGTTACAACCCCGCTCCTGTGCCAGGCAAGTCCACTACGGGCTCACCATACCCCGTGCTACTTGCCCCGCTCCTGTGCCAGGTAAGTCCACTACGGGCTCACCATACCCCGTGCTACTTGGAAATTTTGTCCCTAGTAGCTGAATCTATAACAACAACAACCTGATAACCACTTACGGGCTAGTCATGCCCGTGCCACCTCTTGGGTGGCATAATCTTCATCAATCAATCAATCTAGTAACTCAAGTGCTGCTGGGAGGTAATGAACCCAATAGTTAAAGAGTGTCATATCTGTGGAACAGAAGCAGAGGCGCCACTATTGCACTACTTACTGGAATGTGAAGCTACTGAAGCCCTGCTCATCAAACTCAACATTAATCCAACGACAGCAGCTGGATTAGATGCACATTCCACCGCCACTACAATGATTAGAAAAGGAATGGGACTCACTAGTGAACATTCTGCACCTACATCCGCCACCAAGATAATGTTATTAAAGCAAGATTAAAACCAGTGTGCTAAAACAGAAGCGAAAAGGAAACCGGGAAAAAGGAGGAAACCCCACCTCCAGTCAAAACTTTGACCCAAATATCACAGTAACAAGGTTATCGCGAATAACCCAACTCAATTACGGGCTCACCATAGCCCGTGCTACATGAACATTTCCTTCTGAGTAACTAAATCTAAAACAATATCAACAATATCTAGTATCTACTACCCTGAGGAGATATTAAAATTTGGATTATTGTTTATAAAAGTAGATGCTATAATTGGTTCTTTTGAAGCCACAGTATTGGGGATAAATTATACATTAATAATCCCATATAATTTTGTGATCGGTTTCACTTACATGTTTATTATATAAAACTGAGCTTTTTTGCTCAGTTGCTTAGAGCAACTGAGCATATCTAACCATATCTAACGAAGGTCTTGTGCTCGGTAATACGAGTTTTTAGATCCATGTTTGTTTGTCTATAACAATCTTTGCTATAATCATCTCAAGGAATCTTAAAGACTCTTGGGGGTCCTCAGCTTTATCTTTCTTCTCATTGACTTTACTCACTCATTTCCAACTTTATTTGGGTAACTGAAAATGAATTTTCTTTTACCCATTTTCAGTAAAATAGGTAAAACTTCCTTTTTAGCAAAAATTTATGAATTTGTACCAATTTGATGTCGGATTCCGATTTCCGACTCACGGAAACTGCCGTGAGTCGGATTGGCTTAAGATAACCTATTAACGAGTCGGGGGGTCCTATTAAATAGGTCCTGTAGACCTATAGGTCCTGTAGACCTATCAAAAAGTGACCAATCGAGATACAAAAAAGAATACGCTTTTAAATGTTCATTTTTATCGAGGTGTCAATAAAAGCCATTTAAGTAAACACAGAGCATTAAGTCCCAGTTACAGCCAAGACCGCTCTTCAGGCTAACGTCTTAAGGGCGAAATTCATACACTCCCTTAATTGCAATATCGGCCTTCGGGAAGCATGCTTTTAGTCCATTTGATACTAACACAAACACTTGACCAAATGATGGAACTAGCACTGAGCTAGGTGCTGGGACTAGCACCAGGCTAGGTGCTGGGACTAACACCAGGCTAGGTGCTGGGACTAGCACTGAGCTAGGTGCTGGGACTAACACCAGGCTAGGTGCTGGGACTAACACCAGGCTAGGTGCTGGGACTAACACTAGGCTAGGTGCTGGGACTAACACCAGGCTAGGTGCTGGGACTAACACTAGGCTAGGTGCTGGGACTAACACTAGGCTAGGTGCTGGGACTAACACTAGGCTAGGTGCTGGGACTGACACCAGGCTAGGTGCTGGGACTAACACTAGGCTAGGTGCTGGGACTAACACCAGCTAGGTGCTGGGACTAACACTAGGCTAGGTGCTGGGACTAACACTAGGCTAGGTGCTGGGACTGACACCAGGCTAGGTGCTGGGACTAACACTAGGCTAGGTGCTGGGACTGACACTAGGCTAGGTGCTGGGACTAGCACTGAGCTAGGTGCTGGAACTAGCACTGAGCTAGGTGCTGGAACTAGCACTGAGCTAGGTGCTGGGACTAACACCAGGCTAGGTGCTGGGACTAGCACTGAGCTAGGTGCTGGGACTAACACCAGGCTAGGTGCTGGGACTAACACCAGGCTAGGTGCTGGGACTAACACTAGGCTAGGTGCTGGGACTGACACTAGGCTAGGTGCTGGGACTAGCACTGAGCTAGGTGCTGGGACTGACACTAGGCTAGGTGCTGGGACTGACACTAGGCTAGGTGCTGGGACTGACACTAGGCTAGGTGCTGGGACTAACACTAGGCTAGGTGCTGGGACTAACACTAGGCTAGGTGCTGGGACTGACACCAGGCTAGGTGCTGGGACTAACACTAGGCTAGGTGCTGGGACTAACACTAGGCTAGGTGCTGGGACTAACACTAGGCTAGGTGCTGGGACTAACACTAGGCTAGGTGCTGGGACTAGCACTGAGCTAGGTGCTGGGACTAACACTAGGCTAGGTGCTGGGACTAACACTAGGCTAGGTGCTGGGACTGACACTAGGCTAGGTGCTGGGACTGACACTAGGCTAGGTGCTGGGACTAACACTAGGCTAGGTGCTGGGACTAGCACTAGGCTAGGTGCTGGGACTAGCACTGAGCTAGGTGCTGGGACTAGCACTGAGCTAGGTGCTGGGACTAACACTAGGCTAGGTGCTGGGACTAGCACTGAGCTAGGTGCTGGGACTAACACTAGGCTAGGTGCTGGGACTGACACTAGGCTAGGTGCTGGGACTGACACTAGGCTAGGTGCTGGGACTGACACTAGGCTAGGTGCTGGGACTGACACTAGGCTAGGTGCTGGGACTGACACTAGGCTAGGTGCTGGGACTAACACTAGGCTAGGTGCTGGGACTGACACTAGGCTAGGTGCTGGTACTGACACTAGGCTAGGTGCTGGGACTGACACTAGGCTAGGTGCTGGGACTGACACTAGGCTAGGTGCTGGGAATGACACTAGGCTAGGTGCTGGGACTGACACTAGGCTAGGTGCTGGGACTGACACTAGGCTAGGTGCTGGGACTGACACTAGGCTAGGTGCTGGGAC